ACTGCAGAGTTTTACAGTGAACAGGCACCATGCTGGAAGAGAGATGACAGAAGCCCTGCATGAGTCTCAGTTAAACAGGCCTTAGCAAGGGCTCTATGAGGATGCCTGCACCAGCCTGTATTCTTGCATGCTGAGAGAAAGAGATTTGGCCCAGTCTAGTTTAGAGATGAAGGTTTTCCATGGAGCATAACCTTTTTTCTGAAGAAAAAAAATAACCTCAACACAACCCCTGCTTCCAACTACACTGAGCTCCTGGGACCACGAGAGCGGAGATTGGTTTTGCAGATTGTATTGTTTTTGCCAGTACTGTCACCAGCTTCATATTTCTCAGACTTTGCCAAAAAGCAATTTCCATTTTAAAAAGACAAAGCCTTTTGCGTTTGAATTGGCCTGAACATCTGGATTCTATTTGTATTTCTCTTAGCACACAGCCAGCAATGCAGAGAAAAGAATTTGGTTGGAGAGAGGTGGGATGTTTCAGGCGTGATATTAAAATCTGTGGCTGTCCTTAAAGAGAAGAAAAGGGGCAACAGCATGTGATGTTACAGTTAGGAAGGTACAGGAAGAAAACTTTGAGAAATGAGCTGAGAAGGTACTTTGTGTCTGGGAATTGTCGATTTGTGAAGGCCTGCAGGTGCAAAGGAAATACTTTACTTTCCCTCTACAATGGTACAAAGTCTCACATCGTTTATAAATGCTTCTGCCTTTAGAGGTGCTGTGAAACATGAGCCATGAGTTCAGACTGCTCACTCTGCTCGTTCCACCCCACAGCACTCCTGAAGCATCCTGCAGCTACCAGCTCTAGAGGATTTGACTGTCACCAAACTTGTTACCATCACAGAGAAAAAGCTGCAAGGCAGATGCGTGAAAGGCAGAAAACCACCCCAGTTCCCAAGCGCAGTTCAGCCCCGGAGGCAAAGCTGGTGCTGGTGGCTCCCGATACTTGGTGAGGTCTCCTGGTGGGAATCACACCTTTTAACACCTGCATGAGAACCATTCTTCCCATTTCCCAGGTGCTCTGAGAGCTCCCCAGCCTCAGCCCCTGCCCTGTGCTCCCTCACCGCTGGCAGTGGGCACAGATGAGCTGCCCTGAGCTGTCCCTTACCTCGGGCTCCTCTCTGCCGCTGCTGTCAGGGGCTCCCAGCGGGTGCGAGTCGAGGACAGTGTGGGTTTGGTGCAGCCACATCTGCTTTTTGCTGCTTCCCCCAGCCCAGCCTTCGGCAGGCTTCAGGTTACAGCTTCCCAGGGCTCTCTTAAAGTGCTCTGCTCCCATTTTCCGCTGCTGCCACTCTCCCACTGAATTGCACTAATTTTTTTAATCCTTTTTTCCAAGGCAAATGTGCTCCCTGTGCTCAGGGCAGTGTAGTGGGTAAAGCAAAGGTCGGAGAGGCAAACGCTCCCTGCCCTGTTTGAGCAAGTCGTTTATCCCAGCAGTTTTGCCATATGTCACATCAGGGAATTTCTTTTGTCTCAGAGGTATGGTTAATGCAGCAGTGTTTAATGGATTTATGGATTTATGTCCAAGATCTAATGGAGAGACTTACAAAGTGGAAGCAGGATTCTGTTGTTGTTTAAGGCAGTTAAGGGGAAGATGCTCTGAACTGCTTGTATCCAGTGATAGTTACTAGTTAACAAGAAGTCATTAACATAATTGGCTTAAAGTTTTTGACCGAAAAGAAAGAGGCTAAAAAGCCAAGGACTTGTTAAAAAAAGATGAATTAAGAGAATCTTGTAGGAGTTTACAGAATGACAAATGATCTGGAGAAAGGAAAGGGGCAGAGGGGTTTCATTATTATTTGCAATAGAAGACTCGAGGGGAGCACCCATCACTGCACATTTAAATCAAGGGAGTGTATTTTTAATAAGTATTAAATTGTAAAACTCATTATTACTAGATTCTGCAGAATATGAAAGATAAACAGATTTGAGGGTAAAAAAACCAACCCAAACCGAATTAGTGGAAGGCAGGTCCCCTGAAGGCTGACAGTGGTCAGACGTAACATCAGACTCAGCAGCTGGGCAGTACAACCAGAGAACAGTTGGTTTTCCTTGTCCTTAGTCATTCTTGGCTTTCTTCTCCCCAGTCATTTGTTACTGGATACTGGGAGAGCCAGGATACTGGGATAACTGGACACGTAGCTAACCTGATCCAGCTGTTTGTCTACTTGGAAATGCTGGAAGTAAATTGTAGGCAGTACTGTCAGTGCCCCCAGTCTTGAACCGGGATGTCTCTTTGGGCTGCCAGGCTCGCTGCTGGCAGGTAATGAGGAGTTCCTCAAGTGTGCTGCACTCAGCAAAGGGGAAAGGATGAGTTTAGAGATGCATTAGCTGCTGGTTTTGCAAGCTGGAAAGGCAAACCAGGTCATCTGCCCTGTGATTAGTCAGTGCTTCAAAGGTGACCCTTTCTAGCAAGAAGGGTAACAGCTCTGCTTTCAGCTGCTTCTCAGCTTGCTCTGTGAGAAATCATCTGCAGAGAGATGTTTGTACTTGTTAATGTACCATCCTCGGCCCAGGAATGGGGGTGTTGGCTGTGGAGATATTTTCTGGTGGTTTTCATCTCTTTTTGAAACCTTATTTGTGGTATTAAAATGCCCTTTATGGAAGGACCACTATAGAAGTTTTTATGTCTCGTCTCTATCTTCAAATGAAAACCCATCTGTTTAAATACAGGTTTCATTTTAAACCATTTAAATCAGAGTGGTAGTTGCATAGAACGTTATGAAAGACCAGCTTTATTCCTGTAGGTGAAGGGTATCCCTGAAATGGTGCATTAAACTCATCTAACAAAATCAGTTTTGTTAAATCAATGCAAACATTTTACTGTTGTTCTGGTTTGGGTTCAATATGCTGCCTGAACATTGCTCACTTCAGCTGTGGAAGTACTGATGATATGAATTTGCTCTGGTAAGGAAAAAATACATCTAATATTAAAGATATTGAGACTTATTTGATATTCTGAGCCAGTGGTGCAGATGGATAGAGCAGACGCCCTGTGCTAGTCATGTCTTTTCAGAGTACAGCTCAGTCAAAATGAAAGCTTTAGCAATGCAAAGTGGAAATTCCTGAGCAGAGACATTAATATTACTTTGCATTTTACAAACTGCCTCTTCTGGAAAGCTGGTGGAGTGAAAAAGAGTCTTATGGTTGGTGTAACTGATAATTTGTTGAGCGAAGCACAGTCATGGAGGGCTGCTGTACTGTCAAATAAGATGAAATTAATAGTTTGACAAGAATAGCTTGGAGGAGGAGTGATGGCAACAAGAGAGAAAATAGGAAATAAGAACCAAGCTGTTCAGGAAACTGAGAACAAGGGAAAAAACTTTATAGAAGGGGGAGCTGGAGGGCAGAGGCGTCAAAAGGAAGACTTGAGTTTCAAATTATGCAGAGGTTGCAGTGCAAGAGGGTGGCATTCGAGGAGGTTACAGTAGCCAAGGCAAGACTTACCTAAGGCATGGAATGGTATTTCTGAATGTTAGGAATGAATCTGTACAAATAAATAAGCTAAAATGTTCCCTGTGGGCTAGAGCTGTGCCCTCATAGTAGGGCTGAATTCTTGTGGGTTTACTTGTTAAAATTGCCTGGCCCTGTAATTACAGCCTCTTTTTGAAGGGTATGTGTCATTACACTGGTTAGAGGGGTAGGCATTATCTTCAGCCATTCTTCCCCTTTTAGACTGGGAGAAATGCATAATTGCAGGTTGGAGCCAGGACTTTTTATTCCCCAAAGTCGCCTGCATCCCCAAAATTCATGGTTAGTGAGTCAGTCCTTCTCTTATGCCAGCAGATGGTGCAGACTATTCAGGGACGGAGGCTCCCAGAAGCATTCTGCTCCTTCCTTTGAGGGAAGGCAGACTTCCCCAGTGAGGAAAACACTGCCAGAAGGGTGGCCCCTGGGCTCTGTAACTGCTGTTTTGCAAAAACAGAGCACCATCCTTTTTACCTAGAATCTGGGGGAGGTTGGAACCAGAATCTACTATGGACAGGAGTTGTTTTGTACAGAAAGAGCTGCAGCATGGCAGGCTGTGGTGAGCTAGGCCAATATTTTTAAGTGGTAGGATGGCTTGGTTGGGTGGAGGGTTCTCAAGATTCTTTCATAGAATCACAGAATGGTTTGGGTTGGAAGGGACCTTAAAAATCATCTTGCTCCAACCCTCCTGCCCTGGACGGGGACATCTGCCACTAGACCAGGTTGCTCTAAGCCTCGTCCAAGCAGTCCTTGGACACTTCCAGGGATGGGGCAGCCACAGCTTTTCTGGGCAACCTGTGCCAGGACCTCATGAGCTTTCATGATAGTGCACCACTGCCTTGGAACAAGGACTCATTTCAGGGTTTGTGATGGGCTGTTCCCATCTCAGACAAAAGTGAAGCTGTAACAGGATGTTATCTTTTGCCAAAATAGGGCAAAAGCAGTGACATTCAGCTACAGGTGTCAAAATCTGCTCTCCTTTCCCTGGAAGCTGTCCCAGCCATCTACAGCATTGTGCTGTGGAGTCAGGAGTATCCCAATAAAGGACAACTCACAGACAACAGATGCTGGTCAGCACCTTTGACCCTCTGAGCAGATCCCAGCAATTGTCAGGTTTTACCCAAGAGAAAGGTTAAGGGCTGTCACATTCCTACTTATCCCTGCATTGCTGCTCACAGGCAAAATACCCTCCTGACCCTGTGCCACTGAGCTCGTGCCCTAGTTCAGGGAATTCTGCCATCTTACACAGCCAGCTCTGACCCAGAGAGCATCCCGTGCACCCTTGGCAGGTGAGATGCCCAAAACTTGTAGGACTCAGTCCTTGGAGAGCCTTTACATATTTGCCTTTTCACCTCACAGCCCCTGTTGTCCTCTGTGATGAGGTGTAACAAAAAGCAGATCCTTTGCCAGAGCCTCTCCTGTCTTTCCTTCTCTAGTGCCCAGACGTTTTTTCCCCCCAAACATTGCAATTATTCAACTTCTGTGTCTTTTTCCTTTTTCAGTTGGGTCCTTCAATGCAACACCTTCAGCAAATATATTCTGCTTTATTCTTTATTATTCTGCCAACATAAAAATTACTAAAAAACACTCTATAAAATATGTCTTGAAAAATCTAGCATTACCCAACCTCTAGAGTTTCCCGGAAAAGGGCTGCAGATAAGGATCCAAAGTGGTTTCCCACTGCAGAGCCTCCTACATCAAATCCAAATTGCCAAGGAGTGGGAAAAGGGAATCTTTTAAAAGAGCCTGTGCCTGGAAGTGGCTGTGACTCATCCTAGAGAGGACAACTGGTTACTAGTCCAGTTGCTCTAGAGGTCATTTTCTAGGTGGGCACAGATGGTTTTCAGAGGAACATTGAGGGAGACATGTTCCCAGGAACTGCGGAAGGAAGAGCCATATTAATATATCTCTGGCTGTTGTCCAAGCTGCCAGATGCTAATGATGATTCCAGGCTATGGGGGACTCTAATAAGATCTTAATAAAGACTCTAATAACAGTCTGGGGACAAGAAAGTCTCCCTTCCATGACTGAGAGCCTTGGAAGGGAAATCCAGGCAGAGCAAGATTTTCAGGTTCAACAGAGAGGAACCTCAGCCTGGAGAAGCTTGTCAAGGCTGGAATGGGCTATCCCAGGACTGGTCTCTAGGGATCTGTAAAGGAAAATAGTAAGGAATTGCCTCCTGTGGCCTCAGAGGGAGGTCTCTGAGGGCAGGAGGCCTCTCAGCTGGTCCAGAGCATCAGGTCGCAGTCCCAGAACACTTGGGTTCTACTCCTCTCTTATTTGGGCATGTGGTACTTATTGGCATCTGTGGCTTCACTTGAGTCCTGTGGCTCTTGGATCTGGGGAGCAGCACTGGGGTTGGGGTTCTGGACACTGCCTATGAAAAGCGGGATGCCCGTTTCATCTTCAAAGATTATGAAGACGAAGGGCCGGTCGAGGCTGAAGACAGAGACCGAGCGGGACAGCACGACACTGGTTGCAGCAGATGCTTCCACCCCGTCTTCTTTAAGCTCCAGGGTGGACTGGTGCTGCACACTGGACACAAAGAGAGGCTCATCTGTGATCTTCTGCAGATTTGGGCTTGTGAACAGCTCCTGCAGGCCTAGAGAGAAAGAAGATGAAGTTAACCTTCCCCAGCTGGTGCCACCAGCTCTGATTTTTCTCAAAGCTGTCTGAAGAAAGCAATTCCCTGCTCTGTTGCTACGTGTGTTGCCCACCATGAAGGCCTGGAGAACTGACAGGCAAGAGAAACAAAAACTGCAGTCCAGGCAGGTTCCCCAGTCTCTTTCTGTATGAAGAGCTGAGGGTGCCAAAACCAGAAGAGGCTTCACAAGCTTTGTCCACCTCATTTAGAATAGTAGTGTAAAACTTAAAGTCATCCTTAAAAAGCAGCAGCAAGTCTGAAGGCTCTTTCTTGCTGGGCTGGAAACACTTTTACAGAGATTATTTTTTTAAGCAATTCTGCAAAACAAAGTGAACTCTTAAATTATTCTCATCTGGAAAAGCAGTGCCTGGTGTTTTATTTCAGTGCCAAGTTTTGTGATCTGAATTTTCTCTGTTGGCAATTTCCATGTCCTGGACAGTGCATTAAATGACAAAGTAAGAGATAAGGATTGATGCACAGGAGGAAGTTGGTCTTGGCTACAAGGAGGGGAATGGAGAAACTGTGAACGCTGCCTTCTCTGTAGTATCATCTTGTTGGAGCAAAACATTTGGTGCTAGGCAAGCAAAGAGTAAGGAGGAGGAGAGGAAGAAGGGATGGGAGAGTTTGGAGTTCTGGAGCAAGCTGTGAGGCACAGCTTTAGAAACAAGGGTGGCAGTTTTAAGTGTCAGTGAACAGATGCCATAGATTGAACAGCTTGGCTTGTTCTGTGCAAAGAGGCCTTACCCATTTGACTGAGAACCTTGTTGAGTTCCAGCTGGTAGTCCAATTTTATTTTTGGGATCTTCACTGTGGTGGGCACCTCTTTGGGGAAAAGCCTGCATAGTTGTTTGTAAGGGAAGTTCTCCAGCACGTGAGAGGGATTCCGAGTATACTGGTTTGGTACAATGACCACAAAACTCACATTACTCTTAAAGGGAAACTTGGCCACCTGGAAATAAAACCAACCAGAAGAATTCATGGAAAAGGAAGGAAAATCCAGAAAGTGATGCTTTTAGTTTAGTCTTTTTCCAGTTGGCCTACAGAGCCAGTCTTGCTATCGGATGAAAACAGTGTGGTGAGAAGGAGGGATCTGATTTCTCCAGAAGAGAAAATTCGTTGGAATAACAGCATTAGATTTTAGTATCAGCCACTGAGTGGTAAAGATTGAGCACATGGCAGAGTGGAAGCCCATGGGCACAAACATTGTACCCACTCTGGCTGTATTCTGAAGCGCTCCAACAGTACATTGTCCCAGGGAATTCCTTTCCATGTTTCCTCATTTATCTTTAACTCAGGGCTTTAAAACTATTAATTCCCACTTAGTGGGAATATCTCTTTGTGTTTTTCTCCCAGAGACTGAGAGTGAAGATCCAACATTCTTACTAGAAGCAAGGATGAGGGATGATTATTAAATTTTTGAGCACTGTGCCTGTTAAAAAAACTTTTTTTTTTATTGGAAAGAATACTTGCAGTCAGTAAAATACCATAAGAGGAAATTGCAATCAAAACTTGCAAGGCTCCTGTGAAAGCCCTACCTGAATGTCCTGAGACTCCAGTGTAAACCAGCTCAGGGGGTACTGGTGGGCTTTCATCATCTCAACTGGGACCACAGACTTATTGTCAAGGTGGAATACATCTGTCTCAGTCAAGCTAGCATTAAACTTATTCCTCCAAAATCCTGTCAAAAGAAAAGTTTTGAAATCAACACAGTTAAATTTGGGTAGAAAAACAGAAACTGCTGAGCTGAGTTCTCTAACAAGGCAGACAGTGCCAGGCAAGTAGAAATACAGCAAAGAGAAGTCAGTACCAAGGCTGGAAGAGCCCTGACAGCAGGAAACTCTTATCATCCAGAGAGGGACTGTGAAATAACAAAAAGAACAAGGATTAATCCTCATGCCTCAGTGTGGGAGACCAGCGAAGGCTATGGAGATAAAAGAAACAATGTTTGTGCTTTGAAAAATGAGGAGTAGTGCCTTTGTGCTGCATAGGGTGAAACACTGCTCCAAGACCAAGGTAAAGCATTTGTAGACTTACACTGGAGGTGTTTGGTCTGTGCACAGCCCTCAGGGAATTAAAAGAGGAAGATGTGCCTGACCACTGTGCTGTATCAGAAGGAGATCCACAGAAGCTGCCTCTGAGCTCTGTGATGGGTGTGCGGTGAGTTGCATATGACCTGGTTAATCACAGGATTATTTAGGTTAGAAAAGACCTTTAAGATCATCAAGTTAGGACTAGATGAGCAGGGATGTGCCACTGCCTGGGATCCTGAACCAGGAGGCAAAGGCACTGCAGGTCCCACCTGCTGCATTCGGGCTCTGCTGTCAAGTAACATTTTTAGCACATGTGAAGCAGTTGGGAATCATCTCTGTAGAGAAATCTAAGCAAGAGGAACAGCAGATGTACAGGAACAAGCAGATTGACTAGCAGGAAGCAAGGAAAGGAGATGCTGTTCAGCTACAGGGCTTGCAGAAAACTAGATTTCTAACTATTTCTCTTGGAAAATAAGGAAAGCCTGTGAAGCTCACCGTGGAAATGGATTGCATTGAGCAAGAGCATCACTGTGTTTTCAGGGAGCTGCTGTAGGAAGGTGGGTATTTGCCCTCGAGTCGCTTCCTTTACCCAGTTGTTTATGGCTACAAGGTCATTCTCACTGATCCCAGAAAGGGTCATGGGCTTTGCTCCATAGAATTTCTCTGAATCCTCCAGGAACTTCTCTTTCACCTCAAATCCTGGCAGAGGGGTAGAATTCTACATTAAGTCATTGGACATGGAAAGGGTTTGCTCAGTGTTTCAGCCAGTGGCATGACACTCCCGGGAGGAGTGCTTAGGGAAACAGAGATGTCTCCCAGTATGGCAGCATGCTTCCATCACTCTCTGTCACTGGGAGTTTTATCCTACACCAGTACAGACCCCCCTGTGCCAGCTCTGACCTTTCTGCAGGTACAGACGCGATGCCAGGCTGAGGGTGGACTCGCTGAGCCTTCTGCGAAGGGTGCCCAGCATGTGGTGGATGCAGGGCACAGACTCCAGGTGCATCACCTCCAGCAAATGCTTCTCTGTCTGATTTGCTGCTCCTAAAAATCAAATTCCTGTTAGGTCGTGCCCATGCAGTGGAAAACAGGGATGTTACTCTGGCTGCCTCCTGTTAGAAACATGCTGTGCCTTACAAAAGAGGCTGGAGAAATCTGAGAGTGGGAGCCTCAGAGGGCAGCTTCAATTGTAATCATACCTAATTAAAGCTGCAGGAGTAAGGATAAGTGGAAGGGACTGTATTTGATTTGCATTTTGCACACTGTTTGCTAGTGCCTTTGGGAGAGGGTATGGGGAAGGGCAGGAGATGGTGGGTTTGTAGCTAAGAAGTTACCCAGTGCCAGGTGAGACAAGGCGAGGGCGATGCTGAGGGGCGACAGGATCACATTGGTTCTGTTGGATTCCAGCTGGACCTCTCTCAGGAGATCGATGCTGAATCTCACCAAGCCATCTGCCAGCCTCTGGCTTTTCTTCCAAGTCATCTCACAGCTTTTATCTTCAGCCTCTCCTTCTTCAGGATCCCCAGGTAGTTTGTTTCCATGACAGCCCCCAGCCCCAGCTATGGGTTCATCTTCTAGGTTATCCCTCGTGTCTGGAAGGTTGGTGGCAAATGGTGACATGGGTCCATCAATCTTCTGGAAGCTGTCATAAGTAAATTCTACCAGCTTTGCATCTGGCAGGGTTGGGTTGGCTCTCAGCTGATCAGACTGTACAATTCCAGCACTTTTCACATCCTGAGGAGAAACATGAAGGATAGCACGGGAAAAGCAGGAACACAGTGACACCCTCCCTCATGGGCCTTACTGCACACCTAAATGGACTGAGCAAACTCTCCACCTCCTTTACTCCTGTGGTTTTACTTAACATAGAGTTTAAAAGCACCTCAATGAGTTTGGAAGAGAGAAGGGCTTATATCCTGTGAAAATGGACTGAGTGGTTCCTCCTCCACTTGCTCTCAGGGCCTGCTGCAGGCAAGCTTGAGGGCAAGACCTACCACCTGCTCAGCACACGTCCTGTGCCTTCAGTGTTTATAGATCCATCATCCTCAGCCTTGATCTCACCTCCTCCCCTCACACATTTTGGCAGTGCCCATCTGCCTCACACACCAGTCAGCACCCTCTACTACTGTCACAGCCCTAATCCAGTTTGGCTCAATTCCTCCTCCAGGCATCTGTGTTTTCTTGACCTGTCTGTTCTATTCCATCCCTCTTCTTTCCAGATTTCTTCATTTTCCACTTTTCTAGGATTTACCCTGTAGCACTGCCACTGCTCTCCTCATATTTTCACAGTCTTAAACATCCCAGGCTTGATGGGTTGCATCAGGGTCTTTCTCCCTGTCATCCTCACAGCTGGTTGTTTTCCTCACCTTTCCTTATCAATCAGAAATTAAATCATCCACCTGCCATCCCCTGTACATACCAGTACTAATGTTAACTCCATACTTTGCCCAGTTATTTAGGCTGGAGCTTCTAGTGTGAGGGAGCACGGCGTTGGTCACAGCAGGGAATGAAAGATGGACTTTCTCAAGGCACTGGCACTACTGGATTTCACTGTCTGGGTTCATCTATCTCAGGACAAGCTGGAAAACCATTGCAAACACCACAGCATAACTTCAGTCCACTTGGGTGGAACCAGTCACTGCTTACCTTCAGCTTCCCATCTTTGTCTAAGAAGAGACGCTGTTGGTCAATGGCATGTGCCAAAGAAAACTGTAGGAAAAAAAATCAATAAAGGAAAAAAGTCATGTCTCTGATAATTTCCTCTGAATTTTCAGAGTTGGTCCCACTCCTACTCCTGGCTGTAGCAGTTCCCCACAAGGCAACAGCCCAGGCAGGGCTTTAGGATGCAGACCCAGAGGCAGTGGGGTCCGACATGGGGAGGTGGAAGCGAGCAGGAGCTGGGAGAGACTGAAAACACTGGATTTGTTTAGAAAGGGGTCAGGCCAGACAGGTACAAAATAAAAGTATCCTCTAGAGAGTGAGTTTTGCAATCTCAGATCTGACAAGGATCCAAATTTAAAATGAGGAGGGGAAATAAATAGCTGTTATTAAACAACCTCCTGTTAATGCCTGAGAGTCACGGTCACTAAATACAGTTGAAGCCAAGTTTCCAAAGATTTTTTACAGAAATATGAATAATGATAATATCCACAGCTATCTTATCTGGGTAAAAGGTAAGAAACCTTGCTAGTTAAGCCACAGCAGAGAAGCACTTCCACCAATCTGCCTTCCAGGGCTTCTCACACAGCAGCACTGGGTGATATTTGCCCTGTGGTCTGGTGCAGGGAGCCACCACACTGCCCTTGCCCTTTGCTGGTGGGGAGAGGCTGTGCTCACACCCCCACCTCGCTGGAGTGAGAACTTACCCTTAGGAGGCTGTGCAGAGCAGATAGGCAGAGCAGACCCCAGAGGAACACCATATTTCTGGAACAGAAGAACCAGCCGAGAGAAAAGTTATTTCCAGCTGCCTGGCAGCAGTGAGCTGAGCCTTTTCAGGTCTACAGGGAGAAAATTATCAACCTGGCCAAACAGGTTGGCACAGGAGCTCACAGAAAGCAATAAGGAGATGCACAATGCTGCAAAGAAATAACACAGGACTCCTGGGTCTGACGCCAAGGCAGCGAAATCAGAGAGGACCAGGGACCCCACTGGAGCAGAGCTGCAACCACAGCCAGGCTCCTACATGACGCTCTCCCGCTTGGATCCTGCATGTCTGACCCCATTGCCCTCGTTTCTCTGGCTTGCAAATGGTATTTCCCTAATCAGTGCTGCACACACTGTGCCTCTGGAAGGACACAAGACCCTCTGCTTCTTTCCCATGGAAACCACTGAGATATGGGCACAGCATCCTCAGCTGAGCCCAGGGCTCTTGGGAGAAGGGATACTGACCTGCCTCGGTGGGGCTGCAGGCACTTAAGCAGGTGCTGTCTGGGAGGGACTTTGCAGGTGGAAAAGGCAATACCAGAGCAGTTTCTCGGCAATATGTCCTGGAATGGAGAGTCCTCCCCTTCCCAGCACTTGCCTTCCCCCCTTGCTGGCAAACCCAGCCTCTCCCACCCCCGCAGTCCAGTTCCTGTATTGGGACAGTGGGATCAGGGCTTCCAGGGTCACGGACAAAACCCCACCCATTCCCTGGCCAATGCTTCACCCAGCCACTTTTCCCTTTCAAACAAAAATAACATATCTTTTTCTTAACACAGTGTGCCAAAGCCCAGCCCTCAGCACAACTGCCATACTTAATTCCTGGGGCTGCTTTCCACTCTCCAAGCAGTCCTCACTTGACCCAAAACTGCTGGGCTAAGACCCCAGTTGCCAAGTAGAAGCAGCAAAACTTGAGGCCATTTCATTTCCCCTCCTCTCTCACCCCAAATCCTGCAGCCACATATAACCCTGAGTACCCTGTTCCTCCCCGGTGCTGCCTCATCCGTTAACCCTCTGCCAAATTCACTCCATTCTCCCGGAGGGGCACTACTGCTCGTTGGAGGAGCACTCATTTATATCAAACCCTCTTTTATTTGCCCCTTACCTGAGCTTGTTCATGTCCATGTTGGAGCTGGCACTTGCTTTAGCCCAGCCGACAGTTCTGCGTAGGGCACACGCAGCTCTCGTCCAGCCCACCACGGCAGCGACCTTCGGCACCACCCCCTGTTTGAGAACCTGGCAGGCAAATATTGACCTACAGCATCCGGTTAAACATTTGTTTGGGGAAGAAGAGTGAATTTGTGGTGCATCTGGACACGGGGAGACACTTTGGGCTGCTGTATCCTGAAGACAACATTAACACTGAGTTCACCAGCTCCGAATCTCTCATCAGCAAAAGTAACGTGTGAAGTCACTTGTCCCGAGTAGCAGCTCCACTTTCCACACACTCCCTGTGCTGGGAATGTGCTCTTTTATTCATAACCCTCAGTGAAAATGCAAGGCTCGGTATTTATTGCCACAGGGCTCTCTGAGTTTGGAATTTTCCTTGCAGAAAATACCAGTTCTTCACTCCCTGCATCGCAGCTGCTTCTGCTGCAGCCAGCGTGAGGCACTGGTTTAACAGATGGCAGGTGCCCAGGGCCCCCATGGCCACACATGGAGTGGGAGGGTGTGATGCCCAGGCTGGGCTGAGCCAAGAGCAGCTGGTCCCTCCCCTGGGGCACAGCACGCTCCAGAGCTCTGCCAGGGCAGCTGGCCCGGGTGCAAGGCTCCACAGCACGCACACACTGCTGGGGCATGGAGGAATAGTCTCAGGGACGGGCAGAATTCCAGCAGTCCTGTCCTGTGTGGTTTTGTGCTGTATGCAGAAGTGATGGTGATCCTTCCCACCTTCTGTCTGTGTCCTCAGCGGGAGAGGAGTCACTAAAGAGCAGTGGGGAATGCTAATGGGATCACAGCGCTTCCAGTCATCCATTCCTTGCAGTAAGTCTTGGTTCCCAAACTCACCCCAGACACTGGGAAGGAGTGGGGAGGAGACAGGTTTGAGCTCTGCAACCACAAACTGCTTTGGGACATTCTGCTGTAACATGAGGAACTAATTCCCATTGGAAAGCAAATCCAAGTCCTCGTGCAGCAGAGTCCTACCTTACATCCAGGGCATCTTCACAGCATCCCTCCTCCAGCTCCCCCAGAACAAAAGAGGTATCCAAATGAGGGGCTTTAGCTCTGGCTGCAGAGCAGCAGAGCTGCAGCCAGCACACCCACCCCTCCAGCACAGAGCTTCCACACACCTGGCTCTGCAGCTCTTTCAAAGAGTTTATTAGAAGTAAATATTTACATCTATTGCAAATGGTTAATAGGCAACACGGGACTGAGAGCTCCCCTTAGGTAGGGAAGGACAGCACTGGCCAACCACTCACCTCCCCAGCTGCAGGTGGCTCAGATGAACCAGCAGCTGGATCAAAGCCCTTTCCCCTCCCAGGACAACCCCACAGCAGGCTCCTCCTCTGCCTATGATAAGTGCTTCCTGCTCCCCTGATACTGACTCTGGCTAGGCTGAAGGATGGATGGGAAAAGGGCTGCAATAGAAGTGAAGCAACTGCTCCTACTGCTGGGTCAAAGAGCACACTCTTTGCTTTTGAGGTGGGAACAGACAGTGTTGTCCCAAGGGGAAGCTCAGAGGGAGATTATGCTAGATAATGCCTCCTGGCTCTCACCCTACAAGGGCAGGAGGGGACAAAACTGAGCACCTTTGTGCTGTCCTGTCTTCCCCAGGAATCTGACCAGCACAAAGGAGAGGATTAGAAGGATTTCTTGAGGATCCCTGCCAGTGAGTGGCACACTGGGCATTCCTCACCCCTTACATCATCACTGGATGCTGGGGCAGGAACCAACAACAGCCCTACCCTACTGCTCCAGAAACCAAAATCCTCAGGGAAGCATCTAGTTCTAGCCTCCCTAGAGGGTCACATTCCCATTCCAAACTGCCCCTCTGCAGCAACTCATTCCTAAATGAACTGGCAGAGCAGAAGGGGTTTGTGCCTTGGCTGACTTCCATTCCAGTCTTTGCCATGCAGCCAGGTTGGCAGCAGAAGGGCTCTAGTTAACATCTCCTCCTCCCGTGCAGGCTCTAACTCAGCTGGCAGGACCTAAAGTTCATAAAGTACCTCCTCTGGGCTTGGAGCACCGACCACGGGAGAAGGAGGTGCCTGGCACTGCACAGCTCCAAAGGCAGCAGTTCCCAGGCCCAGCTTATGCTATCCTAGTAAGACTGTTCAGTGGTTCAGGAGTGGAAGTGAAGGGTAAGTGCAGATGGCAGTAGCTAAACTGTTGTGTTTTGTCAAGGGGCACCTCTTACTCCTTAACTGAAGGGGGGAGGATTCCTGTGGTCCCTGTTACTCTGGAGGGCACCTCACAGTCCCCTGGGGTCAGGCACACATGGTATGGAAAGCTCCAGGCCTCTCTGCAGGGGTGACAGTGACCTACAACGCCCAGTATCTCTCCCAGCAGCAGTGGAGGTTTCTCAGTTATGGCTTTTTTTCTTTTTGAAGATACAGAAAGAGGTTAGAGACACTTTATCAAGTGCTCGCTAACACGTACACCTCCCCCTGCACCCTCCGTTCAGAAACATCTAACTCTGCCTCCTCCAAAAGCCACACTGCCGGCTTCCAGCTCCACCACCAGCACTGTGGGACAGCCACAGGCTCCTGGACTGGGGGGTCACTACGCCAGGAGGCGAATGATGCCGTTGTCGGAGCCCAGCAGGAGATGGCACTTCGTGGGCAGCACCGCCAGGCTGGTCAGTGTACCCCGAAAATTCTCGGAGCTCAGCTTGGTCGTGCTGATGGGCAGAGCTGAGGACTCCAGCATGGAGTAGACCCCGATCTTGTTGGCCACAGTGCCAGTCACCACTTCGTTACCGTAGAGGTCGAACGCGTGGATGGGTTCGGATGCAGATTTGTAGTGGTGCAAAGGTTTCTGCTCCAGTTCCTTCCAGACAGTCAAGGAATGATCTGAAGAGGAGCTGATTAGCACATTGCCCTCTGCAGCCTGCAGGAAAGGAAAGGCCAGTGAGCAAAAACTCCTGCTGTAAAAGCTCCCAGTCACAGTGCAATCCCTTGGGACAGGCACAGCCATTTCCAAGCAACTGATGGTACTGAGAAGTATTAGCAAGGCATCAGGATGCTCTGGTAGCTGACAACCTCCTCCAGTGCTATCCTCCAAGACATAGGCTATGCCTCTTCTGAACAATATCCTGATACCCAACACAACTCATTCATCATCTGTTATTACTGCAGTGGGTAAAGGGATTACCATGCAGTCTCCCTCTCCACTAAATCACCTGCTAAACTATTTTCCTTTTCAGAAAAAGGAATCAGGAGGCTCTCTCAGTGAAAAACACTGCTGAGGGTAGGAGAAGCCTGGAGCTGCTTATTAGCAGAGCTAGTGAGAGGGTAAACAACCCACACTGCTGAACTTTGTTTAACCCGCGTTTGGGTCAAGGACCCTGGAGCCCCAGCGCTGCTCCCTGAGGGTGGGTAAATATGGACAAGAGTTATCCATTAGAGTGACACTCTCCCTGGGAAGCTGAGTGCCACGTGGAGAAAGCAACACATTTGCTTCTTCACGGGAGCTATGGATCCTCCCTGCCCCTGCTGCAGACCTGTTCAGCAGGGACTGATACCCAGGAGGGCTGATCTCTGTTCAGTACAGGTTGGACCAAGAACAGCCACTGGCAGCACTAACCAACAGGCAGGAGAGCCTGAGCAGCCTCTTACAGCAAAGGTGGAGGAATGCTCCAGGATGGAGCAGACCAGCCCTGCTGGAAGGATGCTCCATGCAGCCTCAGAGGACCGACGAGGCCCCACTCTGATGCCAGCTGAACCTCTCACCTTGATCTGCAGGATGTCTCCCTCATGGGCAGGCCACCCCCGCATGATGAGCCCTGTCCTGGTGTCCAGCAGCACGATGAAGCCGGAGGAGAAGCCGGCCATGACGCTGCGCCCGTTGGGACTGACGGCCAGGCAGCGGATGAGCCCCGCGCTCACCCCGCTGGCCAGGCGGAACTCGTGCTGCAAGAGAGACAGGCCAGCTATGGGGGATGGAGATCAGGGGATCCGGCATTTAGGGGTCAAGAGACCCTGGGCTCCAGCTGGCTTCCATGGAGTCATGGCAGCTGGCTTTGAGCCAGCTGTGATCCCATCGTTATGCACATGGATGGAGGAGGGCGGCTCGCAGAGCTCCAGGGTCCCTACCTGCAGTCCTGGCTTCCTGTGGTCGATGAACCGCAGCACAGAGTCTGCGCTGGCCACAGAGATGCTGTGATGGGGAGGTGGCATGGTGGTCACAGCTGTGATGGGCACTTTGCTGTCTAATTCATCAAAAGTCCGGAGAAGTTTGCCTGTGAAAACATGACGGAGACGCTCTGGCAGCAGATGTACAGAGAAGGTACACAGCAAATCTCCAGTTCTGTGCTGGGTTTTAATGGGAGCCATCCAAACTCAGTATGGTCCCTCTGTCTGCAAGGACTGGACCAGTTCCCTCCAGCCAGCCCTCACCCTTTCCCTTCTTACCCGTGAACTGGTCCCAGATGTGCACAGTCCCATCACAGCTCAC